GTTCTTCTTTATAGACCGCGTATATCTCCACTTATAATTCCTTTCTCTATAGTTGAAGCTTCGGCCATCCCCAATGTATATTTCATAGAGATTCCTGATTCAGGCTCCAGTAAAAATACAAGACAGGGAAATGTGTTCTGTTTAATGCTCAGTTATGACCGGTTGTACAGTAGATGTGGGTCAGTTGCTGGCTCTAAGCTGTCACAGGAAGAGGGCTAAAAGCAAGAAGTTGAAGGCCCTGATGATGAGACCTTCTGGGAGAGATCACAAGCTCAGCCAATTAGCTGCTGAAAGGGTGGTGTTGAACTTTGACCCTGCCTGCTGTACTTTCATTCTACAGAGAGATCTCATGTTGTTCATTAAGCCCGGTGTGGCATATTCTCTGCTGTCTACAGCTTACAATTACACAAGCATCAGAGGCAGGGCAAGGCCACAAATGGTCCAATTACAATTTCACTTCAGCATTTTGACATTTAAAGAGAGAGAGAAGATAGCTTTTGTAGGAGAAAAAAAACATTACATTTTCTTAGTAAGATAAAATCCAAACACCTCTCTGACCTCCCTTCAAAATGTTTCCCCTCTGGGCTTTAAAGTCATTATTATATTGACAAGTTGTTGATTGTACTGTTTTAAGTTTATACAGAATATGGAATGTGCTGTACCCATTCAGCTACCTGTTTTGGCATGTGGAAAAACCAAAGCTTGGCAGGACAGCCGTGCCTTGTATGTTTGGTTAACAATTTACAGACAATTGTTCTTAAGGGCCGAGGTTTACCAAATAGTAAATTAGATTCTGAACAATCAGTAGGCCACATGCTCTGAGTTATGGTATTATGTTATCATGTAAAGATAACGGTCAGGGAAGTGTTATTATCAGACATTCTTTACTATTTCAATAGCTAGTCTATAATGATGAGAGTTGCCCCCCTCCTCTCCCTACTCCTTATCTTTTCCACATATAGCTCCACTGTGTGTTTGATTTGGGATTTCACATCTTAGACAGTCTTACTTGTTTGTACAGCACATGTGTGGCTCTGTGTTTGCATGTGCATGTACTGAGCACACAAGGATATGCACAATCCTGTCATCGGTATTTAAATTACGACTCTCTTGCGTCATTTCAAAATGCTTGACCATCTGCAGGCGTTCTCTCCACCCTCAAAGGGACTTGGACAGCATGGCAGTGGCTAACAGTCAGCCCACTGTGTTTGCACAGGAACAGAGTCTGATATCTGTCATGGCCTCTGTTTATACTTAGGCATTGCTTCATGTCTCATCCATGCTGACGATTGTGTGTCTCAGTCCGGAGTGGACTTTTTTTGGACTTTTCTGTGCAGGTTTCTTTATACTATAATAGTGTTTCTATGACGTCATTGAATTGAAATAGGGACAATATCCTTTCAGTCTATTAGTTGAGATGAGCCACTTGACCAATATCTACTACCTTGTGAAGAATGGTACAACTAGCATCTGTCCAGCTCTGTTTCCTACAAATTATGTTCATGTAAAAATCTCCATTAGTGATTTATAAGTGCCAGTGCAGGAAGTACATTTACATTCTGCTGCAAAATATACAGCGGGTAAAATAAGTATTGAACAAATCACCATTTGTCTCAAGGTGCTATTGTCATGAAATTTTCACCAGATGTCGGTAACAACCCATGCAATCCAAACATGCAAAGAAACCAAAATAAATAATTTCAGAAATTAAAGTTATGTGTAATAAAATGGAATAACACAGGGAAAAAGTATTGAACACGCTTACTGAAATGTATTTAATACTTCGTACAAAAGCCTTTGTTGGTAATGACAGCTTCAAGACACCTCCTGTATGGAGAAAATAATCGCATGCATTGCTCAGGTGTGATTTTGGCCCATTCTTCCACACAAACAGTCTTCAAATCTTGAAGTTTCCATGGGCCTGTTGTATGAACTGTGATTTTTAGTTCTTTCTATAGATTTTCTATTGGATTCAAGTCAGGTGATTGGCTGGGCCATTCTAGCAGCTTTATTTTCTTTCTCTGAAACCAATTGAGAGTTTCCTTGGCTGTGTGTTTGGGATTATTGTCTTGCTGAAATGTCCACCCTCGTTTCATCTTAATCATCCTGGTAGATGGCAGATTTTTATCAAGAACGTCTCAGTACATTTTTCCATTCATCCTTCCTTCAATTATATGAAGTTTGCCAGTGCCGTATGCTGAAAAACAGCCCCACACCATGATGTTCCCACCTCCAAACTTCACTGTTGGTATGGTGTTTTTGGGGTGATGTGCAGTGCCATTTGACCTCCAAAATGCTGTGTATTATGGCATCCAAAGAGTTGAATTTTGGTCTCATCTGACCAGACTATATTCTCAGAGTATTTCACAGGCTTGTCTAAATGTTGTGCAGCAAACTTTAAATGCGCTTCAACATGCTTTTTCTTCAGCAATGGAGTCTTGCGCAGTGAGTGTGCATACAGGCCATGGCAGTTGAGTGCATTACTTATTGTTTTCTTTGAAACAATTGTACCTGCTAATTCCAGGTCTTTCTGAAGCTCTCCACAAGTGGTCCTTGGCTCTTGGACAACTCTTCTGATAATTCTTTTCTCCTCTGTCAGAAATCTTACGAGGAGCACCTAGTTGTGGCCGGTTTATGGTGAAATTATGTTCTTTCCACTTCCGGATTATGGCCCCAACAGTGCTCACTGAAACATTCAGAAGTTTAGAAATCCTTCTGTAACCAATGCCATCAGTATGTTTTGCAACAATAGGGTTGCAAAGGTCTTGAGAGAGCTCTTTGGTTTTACCCATCTTGTGTGACGCCTTGGTGATGAGACACTTTTTTATAGGCCATCAGTTGGGACTGAACCAGCTGATATTTTTTGCACTGACAAGTGGCAGGATTGCTTTCTAATTACTGATAGATTTCAGCTGGTGTCTTGGCTTTCCATGCCTTTTTGCACCTCCCTTTCTTCATGTGTTCAATACTTTTTCCCTGTGTCATTTCACATTATTACACATAACTTAATTTATGGACATCTATGGTTTGATTTCTTTGCATGTGTGGATTGCATGGGTTGTTACCGACATCTGGTGAAAATGTCATGTCAATAGCACTTTTAGAACTATATTTACTGAGAAAAATGGTGACGTATTCAATACTTATTTTACCCACTGTACGAAAGAGTCGACATCAAGGAAGTGGTTACTTCTACAACTTAGAAGTAGTTTAGTTTAGTTTTCAGACTAGGCAGTACAATGATGACCTCCATCTTTCTATACCCTTCCAGCTGGCAATTGAAAGTAGCAGAAAATGTCAAATATGCTTAGAAATCAGGTTGGTTAATAATGTACGTCCTGGACTTCAGCTTGTGTCTTTTTTCTTTTTTTTCCTGTAAATTCTGTAAGTGGGAGTGGAAAGCAAGCAACACTGGAGTGGATAAGTAATGATGGTGTGTATATCATTTACTTCAGTTGCCATATGCAGATCATTGGCAGTAAACATTTGCAAAAATATCAACATCATGCCACAGTTACTCTAAAGTTTTTAGGTACCTCAAAGAGGATTTTCTTGCAGCCGTATTAGTGAAGGGAATAAGGTGTTCATAAGACAAAAACAACTGCAACAACCGTTGGTATAGCTACCAGCCTTCACACCACACTGTGTCTGCCCACAGACACACCACCACGAAAGCATGCACAGAAACAGTTCATGCACGATAGGAACTCTTAAAATAAAGTGACATATTTTTTCAATATATTTGTACTCTAATTTTACTGTTGTGTTTTCTGTTTTCTTTTAGATACTTTGGACAAATTGTTGTTTGTTATACTGAAGAACAAAATTTACCAATATTTCAACTGAAATACTGGAGGGCACATTAAGGCAAAATTGTCATTCCTTCAAAGGACATATTATACATTTTTGGTGCGGTGAAGTCATTAAGCTAAAAAAAAGAGAGGAAAACCACTGAGGGACACACAACGGTGCAGGCAGCTTTACACATGTGGTTCTATTTTGAGAGATAGAGACAAGAGACAACTTTGGGATGATTGACAAGCAACAGCTGGGAAGGAGGATAACACAAGCCTGCAATACAGTGTCACAGGAACACAGGTGTCAGTCACAATGGCTAATTAAAACAAAGCCAGCAGTGTTAATGAGAAATGATGAGTGACTGTGCTGCAGCTCTCATTTCTGTCAGTTTAACTTTGACAAACTTATCAGCAAAGAAAGACTCAGTGATCCCAAGAAAGTTCATAGACAAAGAATTAATTGACTCAAAAAGTACTCTCTGCATTCTTAAACACATACAGAGTGATGTTGAATTAGTATAACCACATTTCATGGCTGCAAACCAAAAGAACATGCTGATTAACTCCATCCTTTTTTGACAATAAGCTCCCCTGTACTTTACTCACGAGTGCCATTTCGCATGCAATACAGGTTGCAATTGATAAAGGAAGAGAATAGAAAAACCTAATTTTATAATTCAAATTAGGTAATTAAGGTTAGCTCAATAACAACTATGGATGTTCCTGGTGACTAATTTTGTTGTCGATTAAACCAATTTTTTAATTTAGACAAGTTGACTAGTCAAAATTCAAACTACTGAAATTGGCAACATTATGGACAATAACTTGAATAATTAGAAAGAAATGAAGATACTGTTTGTTTTATTGTACAAACAGAGAGAGACCTTTTGAGTTATTTTTTTTAATTTTCCATTTATTCCACCACTGGCTGGATTAAGTTTTCTCAAAATGGTACAATATTCGTGTGATTGACACTGCTACAGTGGTTAGACATAATGTTTGTCAACCAGAAAATCTGACTGGACAACATTTTGAGGATGTGAGTGTTTTTCAAAACCACCCGAAATAATCTTAGCTAGGATTTTCACTTCTCTCTAAAAGATTGGTGACTTCTTGAGAAAAAAAAGGGAAAGAGTTTTTGTAGAAGAAAAAATTTGATTTCACATTTTCTTAGTAAGATAAAATCCACACACCTCTCTGACCTTCAAAACATTTCCCCTCTGGGCTCTAAAGTCTTTATTAGATAGATATAACCAGGGAATCATTTGAAAGTAAGAAAATCCAAATAGCTGATGTGGTTAAAAAAAATAAATGCATTTCACAACAATATTACAGTCTTGCACAAAATTCAATTTAAATCTGCATTTATTGATTTTTGGCCCAGAAAATGTAAATATTATCAAATCAGTATTTATTTGGAGTTTGGGTCCACCTTAGTCTAACATTCACTATCCCTCTGGTTTGGTCTCCACAAAGGGCTTCAGGGAAATATCCAGCTTTTCTAGCTCGTCTAACTTTATCCGCTGTTTGGTGGTGGGCAGATAACATACTGTGCATGTTTGTCAAAGCTGTTCAACTGAAAACAGCTGCCTGCTGCGGCTGAAAACTCGTGTGAACCAAAACAGTAAGTTGTGGCCAGTAAAACCAAAATAATGAACTGAAAGATGCTACAGAGCTGCATAGAGTCGATGGAAACTACATAGTTGGGTGTTAATTGTTTGTGGGTTAAAGTGACCTCATTCACATACACATAATCATTTGATCCATTGTTAATATAAAAATATTGACTTTAGCACCTTTAAAACCAGGGTCCTCAATCCAGAGTGTGTGAGATGGCAGGGTAATGTGGTGGCATGTCACTAAATAATGTTTGAATATACAATTGTGTAATTACTTTTGACTTACATATACAGATTGGTCACTGTAAAAGTAAAATATTTTCAGCGATACAGTAACTGATTGCAGTTATTTACCGCTACAACCCAAAAATGTGTCATCACATCAAAATATGGTAGGTATTGGCCTTAGAGTCTTTTTAGCTGATCAAATGTTAAACAGACTAACCCAACAGAGGACAAACTGCTGTTACACGCTTGAAGCCCTACGCTCTTGTTCCCAATGCATTGAGTGGTCACTGAATTTCAGCTGTACCCGCTACTCTCTGAAAAGGAATCGTCCAGGGCACCATCCCCAGACTCCTGGAAATAGTCACAATTCCCAGTCATTTGAGAGATTTTTTTGAGTAACAGGTCTCTCTCTGTTTCCAAGGCCTTTTTGTCTCTCAGTAGTCTTCTCAGCAGGTCATTGAAGCAGGGACATAACTGGGCTGAATTCTGTTGACACTGGTCAGCCTGGCACGCTTCGGCTATCACGGAACTGAGAAGAAACTGATCTGTATCTTCTTTTGAATAAACTGTCAAAACAGAAATTGCGGGTTATGATTGCAAAACCTTTCACTGAGGAAACATTTTACAACAATGTGCCATAGTTAGTCTGGCATTTGTAAGACAAAATGTTGTTGCTCACAACTTACAGGCAAGGTGCAGGGAAATATTGAGAGTGGCTTGTATGATACACAAGACTCCTAAAGTTAAAATCCCGATTCTGAAAAGTCTTCTCTCTGTGGGTGTCGCACAACACACACACACACACACACACACACACACACACACACACACACACACACACACACACACACACACACACACACACACACACCATGTAATTTAATAAAATACCTTCAACATTTTATCAAACATTTATGTAAAATGACTGGGTTCTATTGTTTCTTGCAAATGTCTGAGTCCTTGTTCTTGATCTGAACCACAAATACGATCATTGTTGAGTGTTCCTTGATAAGGCAGTTAGAATAGATTTTACAAACAGTCATTAATGTAATCCCTAAAGCCCAAAGCTGTTTTGCGGTATCCTTCAATGGAAATGTCTTCATTTCATTTTTTTAGTCCACATTTACTTGTGCTCTTACCTGACTGTTCAGTGTCCCCGCTGTTTGTTGCAGTTCTCCTAGTCTCATGTATAGTGGCATAGTCAGAAAGCTCAATATCTTGTGCCATGTTCATCTACTTTTGGTTTGGGTGCAAATTCACTGTTACTCATGTAACGCTAGCAGTCTTTACACTATCTCATATATTTGCAGCATTGAGGTTTTTTTTGTCTTTTAAAGGAAGGAAGTTGGTGTTATTTGAGGAAACACATAGAATTAGGTCCTGCAATGAGTCAGTCACTGACCAACTCGACTGACTAAACTTGACTTGAGGGTGGCGCAGAGTGAGATGGATTGTGATTTTTGCATTAAGATGTTTCCAATGGGCATAAAGCTTTTTGATGAAGCTGTAAAAGTGCCAAAACTATTTTTGTTTACACTTTTGCCTCAAGGGAGGCTGAAATATACATCTATACAGCAATTACAGTTTTTTGCCTACACACATTTTCTAAAAGTGTTGGTCACTTTTTTTTTTTTTTTACAAACATCCATGCAAAGTTCCACAAAACTCTTAATAATAATCTCAATAATTGTATTCAAAACAATGTTTGAATGACGCACACACACACCCACACACTAAAATTAGGTTTCTTGTTTTTATCTTACCACAGGAACACTGACATCACTGGCAAACCGTCTCTTTGACCAAACAGCAGGGAAAGTATCACCTGGCATGACAAATCCAGCCCTGATATGCTTCAGCAGCTACATCACCACATGCTTCCTCCATTACTTGTATAAAAAGCAGATGGACTCATGGGGATTGAATTCATTTACTTTTCACCACAAACCTGTAAAGAAAAGAAAAGAAAATTGAAATGGAGAGTCCACCTTTAGCCCTTTATTCCTGAAGCCTTGATTGCTAATTGAAAAGCAACAGGTGTTCACCCATGTCAAGAGTCAGTGCTGTAATTGGAGGTTTGAATTTATCATTCTGAATGGTGGCTTTTCGGTCACTGACTCTCAAATTCCAGTGTTCAATTGACAACAACTGTAGGTACTGTTTCACAGCCATTCTCTACTAATATACAGGAGAACTGCCATAGAATGAATCAATCATTGCTCTTTTTTACTATAATGCAGCATCTAAAGAGATTTCAGTGACCAATTATGTGAATGCTACAAATTTAGGGACTGTCCCTATAACTGTATTTTCATGTGCCAGAAAAAGCTCAGCTAAAAAAAACCCCACTAACATTGGAAACATAATTTATAAATATATTTGGACTAAATGGAATTACTAAATTTGTTGAATGTTACAACACAGTACAGCACATTCAGAGCCAATTGACAATGTATTACTTACACACACCCTTTGACAAAAGGGAGATCACAAGAAAATTGACAGCTGGCTGTTGAACATTTAGTGACAGTCAGTATGAACTAACACATGCAAGGTGTTATAAAAGGAAAATGAATACATATGCAAACAGCTGTCACCCTTACAGTTGAGATGAAACCATGAACATGTGAATTACACATGTGATAAGGCTAATACATACACTGGTGCCTGTTCAGCTTACATTTATGTATGAAGTCTGATCTACCCAATTTAATATTTCCCTAGAGGTGAAATCCATGGGAAAAAGCTGTTAATACCTGTCACCTGAGCAAGCTGCCACTGTAAAAGCAAAACTTTATCAATTCAAATTAAAGGTTCAGTGGTGCAAATGATACAAATACCGACGCTTCTGTACCACTCCCATATCCTAACAACCACAGGGGAACCGTACATGATAGAGTTGTGGAGATGGGTGAAATTAATGGGTGTGTTCGGCTACAGAAGAACTGCTTCATGACACCAAGGTGGCATGCAGGGTGCAACAGTGCATCCTAGTGGCCTAGAGGAAAATCACAGGAAGCATTTAAAAAATGTGCCCAGGTTAAAATATTTTTGTGGGGCTTTAATTGCCAGTTTGAAAATTGCTTAAAAAACTGATTAAATTCTGCAAATTATCTTGATGTGTAGCAGCACAGTGCCTTTTAGTGTCTTATACTACAGGTTTAGATAAAGCTCTTTATTTAGGGGCCATAGTCTTTTTGCAGTGGGGGAAGGCCAAGATGACATAATCATGCTTTATCAATGCTGCTAAAAAGTTCAACTAAACCTAAACTGACAAAAAACAATTGGTTACACCAGTAGTGTAGTGGTATGCTACAAGTGAAGCTCATGTAAAGAGACAATAAAAGAGATGAGATTTGGGATGTGTGGTTTAGATGATATGAGTATATCAGGTGTACAGTATTTATAGGGTGTACAGTATTTATAGTGTCTGTATAGAGTCCATCCATGCAGAAAAAACAATCCCAAACTGAGGCAGAGGCACACACATACCTGCACACATGGTCACTGCACACATTCACTTGAAAACACTCAGCCATCCATGCACATACCCCTGTCACACTATTCCATACCATGCATCTGTGCACACACATTCACATTCAATTACATGAAGTTAGATGCACTCATGCAGGAAGGCACACACACACAGTTGCATGCGTACAGGTATTTTAGGTGTGTGATTGTGTGTGTTCAGTGCACATTTGAGAGCTCAGTTTCTAGAAACAATACATAAATCACAGAAACAATGGCAGCAGTCAATGGCGTGCCTGTGTGCGTGCCTGTGTGTGTGTGTGTGTGCCTACAGTGGTGCCGAACAGGCCATGATGTCACTCTGCTGGCAAGAAATCTATGACTGAAGATCTTTATAATTTGAAGATTGTTTTTAGGTTCATGACTCTGTAGATGGCAATGCCTGTCATCATTGTCCCCAGAGGATAAATTCTGCTGCCTGGGTCATCCGGATTTTCCCTCCAACAACACCAGCAGGTTGACATTTTAGTTTTTTAGTGACAGAACTATTGGATGGATTGCCATTAGCACCACTTGCAGGTCAAAGGTTTCACTTAACATCTAATGGATTCATTAGCATAAACCTTTGTACAGCCATTCACGGTTCCTATAGGATGCATCATGATGATACCCTGACCTTGCCACAAATGTCTATCACTATAATACATTCACGTTCTCCTCAGGACGAATTGTAATAACTGTGGTGATCCCTAATCCTTAGCTTAAAATCACAATACTTGTTTTTCAGCTGCTCTTTGTGCTTAGCGCTAATTAGCAAAATGCTAACATGCTAAACTAACATGGTGATTAGTTATACCTGATTCATACTGACATGCTAGCACTGTCATTGTGTCCATGTTTAGTCTTGTTAATACGACAGAGATATTGCTGCTCTGATCATGAGTTTCATTTTACCCTGATATTTCCCCAACGTAAAGGACTTTGACCCAACTTTTCTTGCCCTCACACATACAGTCAAACTTGTTTTATCAGTTTTATTTTATTTAAAGTGTTCCCTTTTTTTTGCATTATATGACCTACAATATGTGTGGTATTGTTTCTGAATACAGAGGCTTCAGACATTGTGTACAGTTACGCCTCTGATGAACAGGATGACCTAAGATTCATATTCTGGGGAGGAAATGAGCCAGATGTGGCATGTTGCTTCTCATTAGTGACATGCAGCTCACTCTTTTCCCTGTTAAAACAAATACGCTGCCTAGACTGTGTATGTGGCAGCTGGAGATGAGTATTCAGTTAAGTGGAAGAAAATAAATCAAAGGACTTGCCATCTTTTTGTGATGATTTGTCTAATTCTTGTCTGGTATGTCCAGGAGGAGGAAGGGGAGGCGGGGGTGAGTTGGGAAATGAGTAGATGGTGTGTGTGTGTGTGTGTGTGTGTGGTGGGGGAACAGAGCAACTCAGAGAGAGACAGAGAGAAAGTGTGTGTTTGGACCAGCTGCACAGCAAATCTGTTTATTCTGCACAATTTGGCATCAAACACAACAGACTGCTGAGTGCTTGCTACTGCTTGTGGTGCCCCATTAAAATGGAATTTATTGCTGCCTTAAGAGCAAGCCCGAATTACACATTTTTCCCTCTGCGCTCCGTCCTTCTCCCTCTCTCTCTCTTATTTGCATTTGCTTTTTCTTTTTCACCGGCTGTGGTGGTGGTAGCGGGGTTTTTTTCCACTTCTAGCAGCAGCTGTCAGACAAGTCGTCAGAACGGCTCATTACAGGCCCAAACAGGCAGGTATGGTTGGCATGCCCACCTACCCGTCAGCCATCACTGCCATCTTCTCTCTCACCTGAGTGAGTGGTGCTCAGACATCACATTGAAGGGAACCTGAGCTGTCCATGAATGCGGTGGCATCTCATGCAGCCATCACTCACTATACACTACATGTCACAGATGCTAAACCATTTTTAGTGTTTCGATGTCCTTCACTTCCCCCTCAAGAGGCCAGTCAACTGGTCCAAAGGTGTGTCATCTGAACAGGTAAGAAGATATTCTTGTCGTTTGCAGGCAGCCCATGTTATGTGGGTATTTTTAGACAGTTAAATGTCACAACTCTGTTTCAGCTGCATCCAGATGACAGTGACTGAAATAATCAAGTTCCGGTTTAAGATTTAGGACACATAACATCACCAGCCTGACAACCTGTTACCCAATTTAATATAGACTTGTAACCAGACTTTGAACTTACGCTGTAAAGAGAGTGTGAACTCTGGGCCCGTATTTCGCTCCATAAATCTCCTCAGCCAATGATAAATTCATATTTAATGACCATGGCTATCGTCTGGGAAGGAGGAGCATTCTTTCATTATTGCCTCTTTCCCCTGCTGCTTGGTCGAGATAATTGATTTCTCTGTGGTAACAAGGTATCGACCACGCATGGTAGCCGGCTAAGACGGTGGTTCGATTCAAAGGAGGGGTGGAGAGGGAGCAGAGGGGAGAAAAAAATAGAGGGAACAAGGGATGAAGCGGAAAGAAGAGAAAGAGTGAGAGAGCAAGAGCATTGAAAGCCAACACGCAGGACAATTATTTGCAGTTTAAAAAAAAAAACTCACCGCCGTTAGGTGGGTGTAGATTGGACAATGACTCTTTTTCAGGGCTTTTATAAGCCTAGTGCAGAACATAGTTTGGTATTTCAGTGTTGTATGTTTAATTCACCAAATGGAAAGCATATTGATCACACAATCTGTCACATAATTCATTGAAAACAGTGTCAGGAACAAATCTGGAGGACCACTTTTCAAGCACATGCTTAGCCTGCTAAGGAAGCACTATATTGGTCCTTGGTCCTCATGTTTATACATTTGCAGCTTTGCTTTTGTTCTCTAAATCTGACAAACTGCTTT